GAGGCATCCTGCTGCGCTAGCGGAGGCAGTGCAGAGCCATCCGGACCGGGAGCCGGCAGCGGAACGGCTCGCCCACCCCTGCAGAGCCACCCAGGCTGGTGGCCTGCGCTGCGTCCCTCCGCTGCCGGCCCACCGTCTGGCTGGGTGCAGCGTGGGGCGGTTCCTCCTTCTCTGCGGCTGCCACCCATCAGCTTCGTGGGATGACCCCAGAAGGTCAGGCATCAGCCGGGAGGGGGAGTCGGAATCACCCAATAGCAGAGCTGGAAGGCGCCTGGAAGGCCACCCGGTCCATCCCCTGCTCAGCACAGGACTCCAGGATCAAGCACCCCCCTCGGAGGACCGTCCAGCTGCACCCTGAATGCCTCCAGCGTGGGGGCGCCCCCCCCCCCCCCCGTCACGGCTTCCACCATTGTCGTTATGCTCTGACAAAGCTCTATTGCTTTGGCAGCCAGGAGGTACTTCCTGGTATCTGGCCGGAACTTGGCCCCTCGGAACCGAGCCCGTTCTTCCATGCCCGGCACTCCGGGCTGATGGAGAAGACCATGTCCTCCCCATCTGGCAGCCTTTCAAGCACTTGCGGAAGGCCACCCCATCTCCCTTCCATCTTCTTTTCTTGAGGCTAAACAAGTCTCTTTCCATCTCTCCTCACAGGGCTGTTTCCAGTCCCGGATCATCCTTGCTGCTCTCCTCTGAAGCTTTCTAGTTTGTCTGCATCCTTTTAAACTGCGGTGCCCAGAACTGGACACGGGACTCCAGGCGAGGTCTTGCCAGGGCTGAGCATAGCGGAAAACATCTCCTTGTGGAAAACGTCTCCCGAGCCGCCTCCTCTCCGCCCTCTTTTGCACGCCCCTGCCGTGCTTCCCCTTCCTTGTCTTTACCCAAGCTCAGCAACCCCGGGGGCTGAGGAGGCGCTTCTGCCCCTTGAACCCTTTCGGTGCCCTTTTCTGCATAGCTCCATGAAGGGGGAAACGGACCAGGAGCCTTTTCAAGAACCGCATGGGAGGAGAGCCGCCCCCAGGGGGACCGACGGAAGAGGGAAGGGCTGTCACGGCCAGACGGTCTCCTCTCCTCGTAAGGCTCAGACCCACTGGATGGCCCACCCTCAGGGCGATGGCTCTGGGGGGTGGCTGCGGGGGGGTTCCAAAGGGCCCTGGGAGCTTTCCGGGCCGATCGGGGTGGCACTCCTGCTAAGCCCAGGTCACCACGTGGAACAGGGAACTGGCCCAGGCAGCTGACGCCTTGCACCAAGCGCCCCTGCCCACGCGCAGAGCCCACGCAGCTACACGGTGTGCAGCAGAACTGCGAGCAGTGAAGCGGCCGGGGGGACGGCGGAGCGCAGCGGAGGGGTGCTTGGGCCGAATGTGGCCGAGCGTGAGCAGGGGCTCGGTATGGAGGCTGCTCTGCGGCAGGGAAGGGGGCACGGACAGCCGTCTCCTCCAGGAGCAGCATGCTCTCGCGGCGCTGTGCGGTGGAGCCATTTCAAGTGGCTCGTGGCCTTTTTCATGTGGGCCCCGAGGAGGACCTGGCAGAACCCTTGGTGGCCCTCCGTGGCAAGCTGGCATAGCGCTTTGACCATAAAGCCACTCCGAGGCGGCATGGACTGGACTCATTTGGCTGGGCCCCTTCGGCACAGGTGTGCCGAGTCTCGGTCGCCGAGGACCAGCGACGTGAATGAGGGGCTTGGACGAGCTTGCCGGCCACCTGCACCCTCGACCCCTGCCCCGCGTGGCTGCTCCCCAGAGCCAGAGTCCTGGGTCCAGCCGGGCAGAGGCCTTTCTGAAGGAGGGACTGGTCCCATGCCAGCCGTGATCAGGCCTCTGCTGAGGAAGGCCGGCCTGGGCCCAGGGGGCATCCACCACCACAGGCTGGTGGCCAGCGCTCCCTCGGGGCAGGGTGCTCAAGCAGGTGGCGGCTGGGAGCTCCAGGCACGCTTGGAGGGAACGGGCCCCTTGATCCACTCGTGTCGGCCTGCAGGCCTGGCTTTGGAAAGGGAACTGCCTTGCCCCCCTGCGGCGTGACTCGCTGGAGAAGGCGGGGGGGGGGTCCCTGTTGGTTCTCCTGGACTGCTCAGCGGCTTTCGATACCATCGGCCACCATGTCCTTCAGGATGGGCCAAGTGGGTCGGGAGTGAAGACCAGTGCTTCTGTTCCTGCTTGACTGGCCGATTCCGGGGGGGGGGGGGGGGGCTGGCCTCAGTCCCCTGCATCATGGGATGGCCCAGGGCTCCGGCCCCTGCCCCGTGCCGTGTGGCATCTGCATGAAGCCACCGAGCGGCCACCAGGTTTGGGCTGAAACATCCTGCCTCTTGCTGGCAGGTGTGGCCGGGATGGTTCTGAACCGAATGGCAGGAGGGATGGGCTGGACGGAGGCCATCAAGCTGACCCTGAACCCCAACAAGACAGAGGTGCCATTGCGAAGGTGGAGGCTCAGGCCGGGGGGTTGTCCTGGACGGGGTTGCACTCCACCTGAAGGGCAGAGTGTGGCGCTTGGGGTGCTCCCGGACCCACAATTGCCCCTGGGGTCTCCGGTGGCATCCGTGGCCAAGAGCACCTTCCATCAACTTTGCCTGATCTACCAACTACGCCCCCGCCTGGCCCGGCAGAACCAGCGATGGCGATCCATACTCGGGTCACTTCATGTTCAGTCGACTGTAATGCACTTTATGTGGGGCTGCCCTTGAAAATGGTGCCGAGACCAAGGGGGGCAGCCCACCTGTTGGCAGCGCTGGGCAGGCAGACCCCGCAAGCGCTGCCCTGTGTGGGTCGCACTGCCACCGGTTGGCTGAAGTCGGGGCTCGCTTCAAGGCGCCCACACTAACGTATGAAGCCCTGCGACTTGGGGCCTGGACGTCTCAAGGAGTGCCTCTCCCCGTATGCAGCTGCCTGGACCCGAAGGCCAACCACGAGGTCCTTCTCTGGAAAGCACCTTCAGAAGAGGCAAGGAGGTGGCCGTGAGGGACGCGCCTTGACCCGACTCGGTTCTGGCGCCAGGTCCATCCCTTTGCGTTTTCCTGGTGTTCCAGTTGTTAAACACTGCTATTCAATTTCGTGTGGCTAGAGTCAGTTCGGTGCAGGGCCACGGGGAGGGTAGCCAGATTATGGAGGATGCCATGGGATGAGCTTGGGGGTCTTTTGGCCTGGAGTAGACGCCGAGGGGATCCCAGGACGCACAGCAAGGGAAGGGATGTCACACACAGAGCGTTCTGATCTGTTCACCCCGGGGTGAGGACAGGATGCGTTCCAGTAGAGCAGAGCTCAAGGAACCGATTTCATGCGAGATGTCAGGAAGTACTGAGGCGAGCAGGACCCCAAGGATGTGGAATGGGCTCGCACGGGAGGTGGTTGAGGCCCCGTCGGTGAGGGTGTTCAAGGACAGACGGCATGAGCTGCCGGTCAGACTGGGGTCAGACTAGATGGCCCAGGAGGTCCCCGCTGGCTTGCTTTGTTGGCTTTTCTCTATAGGGTCACCGGCACTTTGTGAATCGGTTTTTACCTTTGTACTATGTATTATTACCATTTATTCTTATTGTAGGTTATATTTTGCTCTAATTGAGTGTTAATTGCCCTATTGGCATGAGTGTAGACATATTCTGATTTTAGATGATTTTTAACTCTTTTGTACAGCAAATGGTTTATAAAAACCTTCAGCAAAGACACAGGCAAAGGGAAACAAACAGGCCACTGTGAACGGGGACAAAATGCGGCTTGGGGAATGGGCCATCCCTTGCGTGTGGCACATGGCCGGCAGGCAGGCGGGCTGCTGAGCTCCCAGGCAGGATCGCACCCCTGCCATTCTGGGGCAGACGGTCCAAGGGGTGCCCCTCACCGGCCTGGTCTAGGAGGACCCTCGGTGGGCAGCCCACCGGAAGACTGGCCCGCGCCTCTTCCGCTCCTGCTCACGGCCACGAGCGAGCCGGCACCCGGTGGAGCCTCACTGACCCTCCCACAGGGCGGCAGGTGAGCGCAGCCCTGCTCTGGCCTTGCGCAACACACGCTGCGCTTTCCTGCGCACGGGGCACTCTCCCTGCGGGCGGAAGGGCTCGGCCACGGAGCAGACGGTGCGCATGGCGTGCGGACGGAGCAAACACTCATTGCGCCTTTCCGCAAGAGGGCTCCGAAGTGCCTCGGCTGTCGCCGCCATGGTACAATGGCGGTGGCCACAGCTGTGGCCCGAGAGCTCTCCTGGGTGGCCGCGGGGGCAAATGGGCAGCTCCCAGGCCAGAACGCCCGAGCGGCCCTGCGTGTGCCACCCCTCCGCAGGGCAGGCGCGCCGCAGTGGGCCGGGGCGGGGGGATCCCCCGGGCCAGGGCGCCTCTCTCCCCCGAATGGGCCAGGCTCGGCCTTGGCGTGGCAGAGGCAGAACGGGCTCTGTGGAGGCAGGCCGGGCCGTCCGCAAGCGCCTGGAGGGCGGCCACTGCCAGAGGCAGCTCAGCGGGCACCGAGGATCATGCTCTGCCTGTTCTGTGGGGGGGGCCTTTGCAGAAAGAGCCCGGCCCGCCTGGACCCTCACTGGCTCCCAGGCCCAAAGCAGCCATGGGCTGGAGGCCCTTGAGCTTCTGGCAGGGGGGGTGCTGGATGCAGGGAACGCCTCACTCCCTGCCCCACACCGACACAGCACTGCCCTGGCGGGAGGAGATGGGCTGCCATCCCTTCAGGTCTCTTCGGGGGTCCGGAGGCTGCTTCCCCAGAGAGGCACTAAGTCAGCTTTGAGGGGCCGTTTCAAAGGGGCTGTCCCCAGGCGCTTCTCCTCTCTCACCCCCCTGCTTCCCCTTCCTCCCCTCCTCGCCCCCCCTCAGCACTGGCAGCGACTTCCAGACCCGGCACAAGGCCCTGCAGCGCCCCTTCGGTGGCCCAGGGGGACACCCCCACCAGAAGCAGCAGGACAGCAGCCGGCCCTCCCTTCTGGCCACCCCGGCAGCCGTGTGCCCGTGGCAGGCACAAAACCGAGCCAGAGGGACACGGGGCGGCCGGGCCATTCCAAAGAAATCACGCACAGCCACGTCAAGGAATCTCTTTACTGCCCCCTCCTGGCGGAGAGGCCACGGCTCCATACGGCCCGTTTGTACAAACACTTCGTGGTATTTACAAGTTGTGGTTTAGTGTTGCACCTGCCCCACATCCAGAGATGAGCCCCGAGAGGCAAGAGCTCCCGCGGCGAGGCGAGGCGAGCAGGGGCAGGCAGAGGGAAGCTCAGTTAGTTCCGGGCACCGGAGAGCAGGGAGGGAGCCAGCGGCCGCCCAAAGCCGGGCACCCATGCCAGAGCCCATGCAGCGCGCAAAGCGGAGCGACAGCTGGATAATGAGAGAAGGCGGTCACGACAGATGCCGGGGAGGGAGGGAGGGAGGGAGGGAGGGGGGGGAGGGGGGGCGGGGGACAGGGGGGGGGGGGGGGGGGGGCAGGGGGGGGGGGGGGAACGGCCCCGAGGGCCGGGGGGGGGTGCTGCAGGGCACCTCTTTGCTCACAGAGGGCGGGGGGCACGTCAGTGCGCAGCTCACAGGGAGCCAAGGAGGCCGACCCTTGTCCGGCACGGCCCCCACCTGCACCCGCAGCAGGCACGGAAGACGCGGCCCGACGCCTGAGGGGCAGGACAGGCAGGAGGTGGCGGCGGAGCCTCGGTCTGGCAGCCGGGCTGCGGCACAGCCGGGCCCCAGCGCTTCCGGGGGTCTGCAGCCCAGCCACTCTCCCTAGGCATGCCTGGCACGCGCCCCCTCCGGAGGGCTCCCGAGGAGCCGCAGTGAGAATGCTCAGGGGCGCCAAGCGGACGGCCCCGGGTGACTGCCAGCCCCCGCCCCCCCCCACTGGCCGGCGTGCTCCACGGGGCTGCGAAGGGCAGGGGGGCTGCCCAACTGCTCAGCGCTGTCCCACTTCCCCCAAGACCGGGCACGAGATCCACACGGCAACTGGGAAGGAGGTTGAAATGGACATCCAGCAACGCTAGAACAGAGTGGAGAGAGAGAGAGAGGATGGGATGAGACATGGAGATGACGCCGTCTGGCCGAGGCAGGGTGCCGCGGCCGACCTGGGTGCGCCTGCTCCCCGGTGTCTGCTTGCCCCTGCCCGGCCCCCAGGCAGGCCCATCGTGGAGCGGGGGGCACCAGTGCTGCCAGCCACGACTGGCCCAAAGCCCCCCAGGCCATCCCCGGGAGCCGCGGAGGTGCACAGTGGCCGCCGGCAGGTGTGAGGGGGAGCAACCGGTGCCACGAAGAAGCGGGGAACGCCGTGCGTGCCCCGGCTCAGTGGCGCTCCGCTCCCGGGCCCCCAGTGTGCCCGCACTCATCTCTGCAGCTCCTGGAGAGTCGCAGCCCCACCTGTGCTGCCGAAAGCAGGCGCGAGTCACGGTGCCCTCGAGTTACCTTGCTGGGTGGGCACAGCGGCGCAGCTGTGCCTGGGCCTCCTCCGGAGCCGAACCAGGCCTCGCTGATGTCGGAAAACCAGCCCAGCAGCTCTTCCAGCGACCGGGGCCCGTCTTGGGCGGGACTAGGAGAAAATGTCTGAGAGAAAGCACACACATTATTCTGAAGAAACGGGAGAGGAGAGGCCTCGGGTGGACGTGGCCCCTCCGCGAGACTGCATCCATCTTGTGACCGCCCGCGGACGTGGCCCGTGGCGGGAACCTCATGGCCTTGGCAGTAGCACCGTGGGGCATCCCCCTGCAGAGGGGTCCGTGTGCCCCGAGCGGGGGCCGGGGCGCTTTGAGGGGCGCTGCTGGGGCCCTGCGGGGCGGGCCGGTTCTGCGGCTTGCCGGCCAGCTCTTCCCCGCCGTGGGGCCGGCCTCGGACGGGCGCTTCCCAGATACACGCGACGGCGGGCTGAGCAGGGCGCTGCGCACGGAAAGCAGTGGGCGGGGGCACATGCCTCCCACGGGCCGAGCAGGGAAAGCGGCGCGCCAGGCGGGCCGAGCGGGGGGTGGGCGCAGCGGAGCCAAAAGCGATGAGCTCGGGGCGAGGAGTGCAGACGCGGCGAGAGGCGGGCGAGCTCCTCCATGGGGCAGTGGCCTCTGGGCTGGCGGGGGGCACCATCGCGCACTTACGGTCTGAGCGTGGCCGTCCACGCGGTCGAGGGGAGGCCGCCGAGGAACAGCTGCGGAGCAGAGAGCAGTTTCTCCGGGTCGTGCTGGCGAGGGCCAGCGAGGAAAAGCGGTCCGGCAATGGTGCGGGGAGCCGGCGGCTGCAGTGGGGGAGCCGTGGGGCAGCCTGGCGCCCTGTCGTCGGGCAAGTCCCTTCCTCAGTGGCTGGAAGTGGAGCGTGCGGTGCGGGTGGCGGAGGGAGGCCTGGCCTGGGGCCGTCTTGCAGGCTGGGGGGCCGCTTGGGGAGGCGTCGCTTGTGGGGAGGGTGGGCGGCTTCTGCCGGGGGGCGCTGGCACGTGGCCAGCCAGCCTGCTCTGCCGGTGGGTGGCGCCACGGAGCGGCGGTGGGGCGGAAGTGCACGCTCACTTTCTCTCAATATACAAATACTGCCAGAAGAGTCATATATATATATTAATATATTAGTCTAGGGCTTTTTGTTTTTGGTTAAACTTTAGGCACTGCTTTGGAAGGAAAGTGTGTTTTAAATTTTATAAAATAGTAGTAACAGCAATCAGAATAAATCGAGTAGTGATGAAGGCAAGGTTAGCCAGTAGCTTCTCACATGCAGCGCAGGATAAATGCAGAGCTTCTCTCGAGTGTGCGAGGCCGGGGGCTGTCACGCCACGGTCAGCTGCTTCCCAGGTGGGTCCGGGCACGCCTGGTGCTCCTCCCGCCTGCAGTCCCCCTCGGGGTGCGTCCGGGCACCGCCGGGCGCCGCTTCCCTGGGGCTGCTGCCGGCGCCCAACCCGTATCTGCGGCCGTAACTGGATGAGCTGTAGGAGGAGGAGGAGAAGGACATGGAGAAGCCCGAGCCCGTCGCGTCGAAGCTCCCCCGCCGGGAGCCCGACCTGGAGCCGGTTCGGGAGCCCGAGCGAGAGCCGGAGGTGGAGCCGGAGCCGCTGACGTTGTAGGGGCTGTAGTAGCCCTTGCTGGACTGCGAGGAGGCCTCCAGGAGGCGCAGGCCCGTGCCTTCTTCCACCATGCTCCTGTCCATCGCGTCCTTGTACGAGATCTTGAGCTTGGTCTTGGGGCAGGTCAGGTACTTGGAGTATGCGCTCACGTCCCGGAGCTTCTGCGCGGTGCGCGCATCGATGGTGCCCTTCTGCACGGCCTCTTCCAGGGAGACGCGTCCGGCCGCGTCCGGCTCGATCAGCCCGCCCGTCAGGTACTGCACCTCCAGGAAGCGCTGGCCAGCCTCGTAGTACAGCCAGCCTTTCTTCAGGGCCTGTGCGGCAGACATCTTGGTCTTGGTTCGCGGGTCCTCGAAGCCGTGGAAGGCCTTCTGTGCGAGGTTGATTCTGTCCACCATGATCTTGTCGACCAGGCCCTTGTTGACGGCATCCGCGACGGAGAACCGCTCCCCGGAGCTGGGGTCAACAATCCCGCCGGTGCAGGCCTGGGCCTCCAGCAGCCGCTGGCCGGTGATGTTGTCGACCAGGTTGCGATGCATGGCTTCCGTGATGGAGACCTTCTCCAGGGTGTCGGTGTCCAGGATGCCTGCGACGGGCCCCGTCTCTTCGGTGGGGTCACTCCAAGAGGTCAGCTGTGCCCTCACATGGGCTGGGCTCACGGGGTAGGAAGAGGAGGAGCCAACGGAGGAAGACCTCGACCGGAATCCGCTGACGTTGCCGGACAGCATGTCCGCGAACTCCGTGATGGACAAGGAGCCCGAGCGGTACTGGTCCAGGGCAGACTGGTCTATCAGTCCCTTCGCGATGGCATCATCGATATCGTACTGCCGCCCTGACCGCCGGTCAATGATCATGGACTTCACCACCCCGTCGGAGGAGGAGATGGTGATCTCTTCCCACTCGCACTCCTGTTCCGAGAGCTCCAGGTAGGTCTGGTGGTCGATGAGGCCCTTGCGGTAAGCCTCGTACACAGACATCTCCTTCCCCGTCTCCGGGTCGACGATCACCACCCTGCGCTTGCGGACAGAGGACTTGGAAGACGTCTTCCTCTCCCGCTTCTTCTCCTTCAGGGGCAGGAGGCAAAGGCCGGTCTCGGGGTCAGTGATGCACCTCTCCATCAGCTGCAGGTAGGTCAGGTTCTCCTCTGTGTTTGGGTCGAAGAACCCTTTGGTGTCGTCACTCGGGTCGAGCAGGATCTCGTTCATTTCCTCATCGAACAGGCCTCTCTTGTAGGCCACTTCGACCGGCAGGCGATGGCTCTCCTCTGGATCGATGATGCCCCCGGTGGCAATCTGGGCCTCGAGCAGGCGGATGCCGTGGTCTTTCAGGATCAGCCCCTTCTTCATGGCCTGGAAGAGGGAGATCAGCTTGCCCGAATAGGGGTCTTTGTAGCCCGTCACGGCCCTCTCTGCCGAGAGCAGCTTGTCCTTGAACTCCGGACCGACGATGCCCATGCGCACCGCCTCTTCCACAGTCAGCTTGAGGCCTCGGATGGGGTCGACGACATACCCCGTGGCAGCCTGGGCCTCGAGGAGCTCGAAGGCTGTGCCCGGGCGGATGATGCCCTTCTTCATGGCCTGGTACACGGACAGCCTCTCCTTGCTGGAGTCCACGTAGACCCCTGCGATGCAGCTGGTGCCCTCCAGGAACTTCTGCAGGTGTTTCGTGACTTCCTCCACAGAGGTCAAGCCCTCTTGGAGCCGCTGGGCCGTCGCCTCATCCATGACCTGGGAGCGCACCAGCTCCTCCACAGAGATCTGCTTCCTCAGGCCCCTGAACGTCAGCTTGCGGGTGTCGCTGAGCGGTAGCAGGAGGCAGCCGGTGTTCTCGTCCTTCTTGCATCGCTTGAGGATCTGGGCGTAGCTGAGCTTCTCCTCCGTGGAGGGGTCCACGTAGCTGCGCACCTCACTGGGCTCAGATAGCCGCTCGTAGGTCTCCCTGTTGAAGTAGCCACGCTGATAGGCAATTTCTAAGGGCAGGTGGAAGCCCAGATGCGGGTCCACTATGCCCCCTGTGGCCAGCTGAGCATCCAGCAGCCTCAGGGCTTCTTCGGGAGGAATGAGGTCCTTCTTCATGGCCTGGAAGAGCGAGATCTTCTGCTCGCTGTAGGGGTCCCGATACCCAGTCACTGCTCTCTCAGCAGACAAGAGGCGGTCATGCATTTCTGGGCCCACAATCCCTTTCCGGACGGCCTCATCCACAGTCAGCATCTCATTCTTGGTGGGGTCAACGATGAAGCCAGTGGCAGCCTGGGCTTCCAGCAGGGACCGAGCCACTTCCGGGCTGATTAGTCCTTTCTTCAGGGCCTGATAGACGCTGAGCTTCTGCTTGCTGGACGGAACGTAGATGCCGGCCACACAGCCCGTGCCGTAGAGGTGCCTCCAGACAGCCTCCATATCCAGGAGCTCGCGGATGGTCTTGGTGCCTTGCTTCAGTGCGTTGTAGACCTCCAGCGAGATGATCCGGGCCTCGTAGAGGTCGTCGGCAGTGATCCGCCGCCTGACGTAGTCGTAGGAGGTACGGTCCTGCTGCCGGATGATCTCCGTTTTCTCTATGATCTCGATGATGATGATGATCATGCGCTCCTTTGTCACACTGCCGGAGCGGAACTCTTCCATCAGCCTCTTGCGCTGGTCCTCAGGGATGAGATCCGAGTGCATGATCTCCCACAGCGACATGGAGGAGCCAGCCTTATCCCCCACTGGAATGTCGATCTGGGTCTCCTCAAAGACCTTCTTGGTCTCGGCCTCGGTGTACACCTGGGTGGTCTCCACCACAGTGGGCCTCTCGGGCTGCTTCAGGGGCAGGAGGTAGAGGCCGGTCTCCGGGTCCTCAACACACCTCTCCTTCAGCTGCAGGTAGCTCAGATTCTCTTTGGTATTGGGGTCAAAGAAGCCCTTGGTGTCATCGGTGGGGTCCGAGAGGGCCCGGTTCAGTGCTTTGTCCACGTAGCCCCGCTGGTAGGCCACCTCCACGGGGACCCGGTGGCTGTGCACAGGGTCGATGATGCCCCCCGTGGCGATCTGGGCCTCCAGCAGGCGAGTGGCATGTTCCCTGAGGATGAGCCCCTTCTTCATAGCTTCGAAAAGGGAAATGGTGTTTCCGGAGAAAGGGTCCCTGTACCCGGTCACGGCCTTCTCGGCGGACAGCAGCTTCTCGTGCAGCTCTGGTCCCACCAGGCCGGCCTTCACTGCTTCGTGGACGTACAGCTTCCTGTTCCTCACGGGATCGACCATGAATCCCGTGGCGGCCTGAGCTTCCAGGAGGAGCGTGGCCGTGCTGGGCAGCAGCAGGTTCTGCTTCATCGCCTCGTAGATGCTCAGTTTCTCTCTGGCCTCCTCCACAAACACCCCCGCGATGCAGCCGCTGCCCTGCAGGTACCTCCGCACGGTGTCCACCTCAGAGAGGTCTTTCACGGACTTCTTGCCCACCAGGAGCTGCTCGTGCTGGGTCTTGCTAATGATCCTGGACTCCAGCAGCTCGCTGGCGGGCACCGGGGCGCGGAGGCCGCTGAAGGTCAGCTTCTCCTGCTTTTTGGTCTCGGTCTCTTCGATGATGGTGATGATGATCTTGATGACCCTCTCGATGGTGACCTTCCCGGATTTGTACTGCCGGATCAGCTCTCGCCGCTGCTCTTCGGTCAAGTACTCGGAATGGATCAGCTCCCAGATCGTGACCGACTTGCCCTTCAAGCTGCCAGCTGGGACTTCCACGGTAGCTTTGTCCAGGGAGTCCCTGGCCTGGCTATCCGAGTAGACCTCCTCCTGATGGCGCTGGATGGCCTCGCTGGAGAGCGGGAGCAAGAGGGGGCCTGCTGGCTTGTCTGCGCGGCACCGCCTCCGCAGCTGAGCGTAGGTCACACTCTCCTGGGCGTTGGGGTCATAGTACAGCTTGACGTCGTCCTCGGGGACAGACAAGGCCTTGCCCAGCTCTTCACTGAAGCAGCCCCGCCTGCAAGCAACGTCGAGGGGGAGGCGGTGGCTGTGCACAGGGTCAATGATGCCCCCGGTGGAGAGCTGAGCGTCCAGCAGGCGGACCCCGGCCTCCCTGGGCAGGAGGCCCTTCTGCAGGGCCTGGAAGAGGGAGACCACCTGGCCCGTGTAGGGGTCCCGGTAGCCAGTCACGGCCTTCTCTGCGGACAGCAGCTTCTCGTGCAGCTCGGGCCCAACGATTCCAGCCCTGACCGCTTCGTCCACAGGGAGCGCCTCATTCCGCAGCGGGTCGAGGATGTACCCGGAGCCAGCCTGGGCCTCCAGCAGCGCGAGGGCGGTCTCTGGCCTCAGGAGGTTTTGCTGCAAGGCCTCGTGGAATGAGACCTTCTGGCCGGTGGCCTCCAACACAACGCCAGCGATGGCAGTGCTGCCCTTCAGGTACGCCCGGATGGGATCCGTGCCGGCGACATCTTGCACCGTCTTCTTCCCCTGCTGCAGCTGGTTGTAGAGGTCCTTGCTGAGGATTCTGCTCTCCAGCAGCTCGGCCGCTGGAACGGGAGCCCGGAGCCCCTCGAAGCAAAGCTGGCTCTTCTTCTCGCTCTCCTCCACCACCGTGATGATGACCTTGATGATCTTCTCCACCGTGATCTTCCCGGTCTTGTACTGGCGCAGGAGGTCGCGCCGCTGCTCCTCCGTGAAATACTCCGAGTTGATGATTTCCCAGATGGTCACCGTCTTCCCTTTGAACCTGCCGAAGGGGGCGGACACAGTGGCCTTCTGGAAGACGTCGCGGGCCTCCCGGTCGGTGTAGACCAGCTCCCTCCCTTTGGCTGCTGTGTCCGCCAGTGGAAGGAAGGCGAGGCCAGTCTCCGGATCCGTCACACACCTCTGCAGCAGCTGCAGGTAGGTCAGGTTCTCCTGGGTGTTGGGGTCGAAGAAGCCCTTGGTGTCATCCGAGGGGTCGGAGAGGACCTGCCGCATCTCTTCGTCCAAGTAGCCCCGCTTGCAGGCCGCGTCGACGGGCAGGCGGTGGCTGTTGATGGGGTCGATGATGCCCCCCGTGGCGACCTGGGCCTCCAGCAGCCGGATGCCGTGGTCCTTCACGATGAGGTCCTTGCTCATGGCCTGGAACAGGGAGATCTTCTCCTCGGTGTAGGGGTCGGTGTACCCGGTCACCGCCCGCTCGGCGGAGAGCAGCTTGCCATGCAGCTCCGGCCCCACCACGCCCTCCTTCACCGCCTCGCTGACGGACAGCCTCTTGTTCCTCACGGGGTCGATGATGAAGCCGGAAGCGGCCTGGGCCTCCAGCAGGATGAGGGCTGTGCCTGGGCTGAGCAGGCGCTGCTGCATGGCCTCGTAGATGCTCACCCGCTTGTTGGCGGGCTGAACCAGGAGGCCGGCGATGCTGCTTGTGCCCTGCAGGTACGCCTGGATGTCTGCCCGCTGGGAGAGCTCCTCCACGCTCACCAGGCCCTTCCCCAGCTTCTCCAGGTGCTCCTGGCTCAGGATGCCGGCCTCCGCCAGCTTCTCGGCCGGCACTTTCTGCCGGATGCCCTTAAACGCCAGCTCCGGCTCCCCATTCTGAGAAATGTGGTCCGTCACGTCCTCGCCGTTGGGCATCGCCTTCAGCTGGGACACTCGCCTGGCCGGGACGGCCTCCTCCTGGGGCGGCTCATCCGTCTGGATCATGATCTCCCGGGTCTGTGCTAGCGCAGCCCTCTGCTCCTCTTGCAGGCGCTCCAGCTTCTCCCTGAGCTTCTGGTTTTCCTCCGCGAGAAGCTTCTCCTGCAGCTGCCGCTGCTCCTCCAGCTGCTGCAGCTCCTCCTGCTTCCGGCGGACGTTCTCCTCAGCCTCGGCCTGCTTCTGCTTCGCATCCTCCAGGATCGCCCTCAGCCGCTGCTTCTCCTGCTCCATCTGCTTCTGCTGGTGCTCCTGCTCCGCCTTCAGGTTCTTGGCTTTCTTAACCTCATCCTGGAAGAGCTTCTCCAGCTTGGCCTTCTCCTCCTCAACGAACCGCTCCTTCTCCAGGAGAACATCCTTCTCCGTCAGGAAGGTCTGCTGAAGCATGTGAGTCTCCTGGCGCAACTGCTCCTTCTGCGCCGTCTCCATCTGGATGAAGAAAACAAAAACGGCCGTCACCAGCGGAACGGGGCGCTTGGGGAGCTGTTGGGGCGGCATGCGAGTTAAAGGGGCGGGGCGCAGCAGGCAGAGGGACTCCCGTTGGGGGGGCAGGCATCCACCAGACCCCTTGCAGGACACTCGGCCCAGGCGCTGCAGCCAGGGTGGCTTTCTCCAGGAGGACGGGCCAAGACCGGTTTTCAAGATGGGAGTAACCTGTTTGGAACCAGCCTCTCCTCATGAAACGGCATCTCCCCAGAACCAGCGCTCGACTCCAGCAGCGGGCTGGGCTCGGGGACCTCCCTGGCTCCGCCCTACTCCGATCACCTGTGGCTCCACCTGCGCTGGTCACCTGCGCTATCAATGGCCGCAGTGTTCCGCTAGAGCACCACAGAGCTGCCTAGCCTCAACCTGATGAAGCCTCTCAGTCGGGCCTGTGTCCTGATCCGCTTGCAAGGAGCAGGGGACGAACGGCCCAACTACGCGCCACTCGAGCGTGAGATTTCTGAGGAAGGAACGCACCCCTCTTCTTGGCCTCTCCCCTGCACCCCCCCATGGCGACTGATCTCTCTTAGGAGGCCAGGTGAGAGTGCGCAGCGGACCCTCGTCTTGAACGGCTTCCTGCGTGCGAAGCGGAGAGAGACCAGCAGGCCAGGGAGCGAGTGCCCCCCCCGCCCCATGCTTGCGTCCCACCTGCAGTGGGGCCTGGCACCAGGGCAGGCCACCGGCGCTCCCCCTCCCACCTGCAGCCGGGCGAGAGCCGCGGGGGCAGGCCGGGCCCCCCAGGCCAGCGGCCCGGCCCAGCCCCCCTCGAAGGGACCCACGCTGCTCCAGCCCCCGGCCTGTGGGCGACTGACTGGGCAGTGTCCCCCACCCCCCGCCCAAGGGGGCCTGCTGCGGCTCTCCGAGGCTGGGTCTTGGGAAGGAGCCACGCACGGGGTCCCCGCAGCCTTAAAAGGCCGCTGGCCGGGCGCCTCCGAAGCAGGAGCATGCTCCTTCGGCTGCAGCACGGCCGGGCGGGGGAGCGCCCAGCCGAGATGCCGGCCGTGGCTCTCGGGGTCCCGGAGGGGCTCCCCCGGGCTGGCGGCCACTTGGGCCACACTCAGTCGCTTACCTTGCGCCACCCCTGGGCAGGGCGTCCCGGTGCTGCGCTTCGCTGGCCTTTGGGGGCAACGAGTCTGCCGGCTCGGGCCAGAGCCTCCGGGGCCCCCTCGGCTCACAGCCCCCGGCCCGGGCCCCCTCGGCACATCCCTCCCTGGCCCCCCCACGACGGCTTCGGGCCACGCGCCCTTCCGCAGGCGCAAAGGGCCGGCCTCGGGGCCCGCCTCGCCCTGCGGGGGCGCGGAGCAGACGCTTCGGGCATCGCTCAGGGGCGCCTCTCCCGCGCCCGGAGCCTCAGCCGCTCCGCCTGCGCCACAGGCACGGCTTCCGCAGGGCAGCCGCCGGGCTGCCGTCACGTGACGCTTCCGCTCGCGGGCCCACAAGCACAAGCCGGCAACGGCCGCCCGGGCGCCTCTGCATCCGAGCGAGCGGACCTGGCTGCGGGAGGTGTCCGAGGCGCAGGCGCCCGTGCGGGCCCTCCACTGCTGAGGAGCGTCTCCCCGCCTCCGGCACTGGACCCCGCCGGGGACCCAGGAAGCGGTGTGGTGCCCCTCGGCACCCTGCTGGCCAACACTGACTGGCGCACGGAGAACAACCTGCTGGGACCCTCACGTGCCCCGACGGCCCCCCGCTCGCCCCCAACATGCGCCCAGCCGCCCCGGGGGACAGGTGGGGCCGCGCCGCGTGCCGACGGGGCCGGCTTCCTCGGGCCCCGAGAAGGCCCCTGGGTGGCTGGGCTGGGCAGGGCAAGGGGCCCCCTCCGCGTGGTACCTCCTCTGCCTTTCGCTGCAGCGCCAGCGCCTCCTGCTTCAGCTTGGCCTTCTCCTGCTCCAGCTCCGCGATGGCTCTCCTTAGCTTCTCTGCGTCCTGGTCGCTCTGCTGCCTCTGGATCTCCAGCGTGTGAACCAGCGTCATCTTCTCCTGGGTGGACAGCTCCGTCTGGTGCAGCTTCTGGCTGATCTCCTCGGCCTGCCTCTTGAACCGCTTGGCCTCCTCCTCGGCCTTGGCCTGGGCCAGGCTCAGCTCGGTGACTTGCACCTTCAGGCGCTCGGCGTCCGCGCTGATCTCCAGCTGCCGCCTGCGCTCTGCCTCCAGCGTCTTCTGGAAGCCTTCCGTCTCCTCCACCAGCCGCTGCTGCATCTGCTCCTTGTCCTCCTGGAGCCGCTTGGCCTGCTCCTGGGCGAGGTCCTTCTGCTTCTGCAGCGCCTCCGCCTCGGCCTTCAGGCGGGTCGCCTCCTGGACGGCCTGCATCTTCTCCTTCACCACCTTCTCCGCCAGGGCCCGCTGCTGGGCCAGGTCCTCCTCGGCCAGTGCCCGCATGCGGGCCGCCTCCTGGGCCTCCACACTCAGCCGGGCAGCTTCCTCCGCCACTTGCTTCATCTTCTCGGCCTCCTCGGCCAGCAGCTTCTGCGTGTTGTCCTTGTCCTTCAGGATCAGCGCCCTGTTCTCCTCCTCGATGCGGGTCTTCAGCTTGAGCAGCTCCTCCATCTGGATCCTCACCTTGAACAGCTCCTCCTCCACCTGGGCCTTCTGCTTCATGGCTTCGGTCACCTCCTCCTTCAGCCGCCGCTGCTCTTCCTCCAGGATGCTCTTCTGGTGGTCCGTCTGCTCCAGCTGCAGCTTGACCTTGGCCAGCTCCTGCTCCACCTGGGCCTTCTGCCGCAGCGTCTGCTCGGCGAACTTCTTGTGTTTCTCCATCTCGGCGTCTGCCAGCTGCTTCTGCTGGAGGGCGGCCTGCTCCGCCTGAGCCCGCTTGGCCGCCTCCAGCTCGGCCTCCTTCCGCAGCTTCTCCGCATCCTCCTGTGCCCTGGCCTTGGCCTGGGCCTCCTCCTCCGCGCGCTGCTTCCTGCGCTCGGCTTCCTCCACCCGCTGCCGGGACAGGGCCGCATCCTGCTCCGCCCGGACGCGGGCCAGCTCGGCCTCCTCGGCAGCCCGCCTGGCCTGCTCCGCCTCCTCGCGCAGCCTGTCCAGGGCGCTCTGCTCCTGCTGCCGGGTCTGCAGCAGCTCCTGCTCCTTCTGCTGCACGGCGGCCAGGTGGGCCTTCTCCTCGGCAGCCAGCCGCTTCTGGGCCGCCTCCTGGGCCAGCTGGATCTGCCTCTCGGACTCACGCTCGGCCAGCTCCTTCTGCCTCCGGGCCTCCTCCACCTTGGCCTTCAGGCGCTCCACCTCCTCCAGGGCCGCCTTGCGCTGCTGGGCAGCCTCCTGCTCCGCGGCCAGGATCTTCCTGACCTTGGCCTCGGCCTCCTTGCGGCGGCCCTCCTCCTCCAGGGCCGCCTGGCGCAGCCTCTCCGCCTCCTGCTCCGCCTGCTCCTTGCTGCGCTGGGTCTCCTCGGCGTTCTGCCTGATCTTGCCCAGCTCCAGCTCCAGCTCCGTCTTGCCCAGCGAGGCCTTTTCAAAGTTGGCCTTGAGCAGGCGGATCTCCTCCTCGACGACGCGCCGCTGCTTCAGTGTGTCATCCACGATGCTCTTCTGCCTCTCCAGCTCGTTTTCCGAGGACTTGCGCAGCTGGGCGATCTTCTCCTCGATGTCCTGCTTGTGCTGAGCCGCCTGCTCCTCCAGCAGCCGCCGCTGGTAGGCCTCGTCCTCGGCCAGCCGGCGCAGGCGCTCGTTCTCCGCCTCCTTCTCCTTGAGGGCGATCTCGGCCTCCGCTTTCAGCCGCGAGGCCTCGTTGATGGCCGCCAGCTTCTCCTTGAGGATCCGCTCGGCCTCCGCCCGCTGCCGGGCAGCCTCCTCCTCGGCCAGCTGCCGCTGCCGCTTGGCCTCCTCCGAGAGGGCCCGCAGCCGCGCCGCCTCCTCGGCCAGCTCCCGCAGCTTGCTGGCCTCGGCCTCCAGCATCTGCTTGGACTTCTCGCTGGTGGAGCGGGACTCCTCCTCCGCCTTGGCCTTGCTCTGCAGCAGGAGCTCCATCTCGGTGCGCAGCTTGGCCAGCTCCTCCTGCAGCTCCGTCCGCTTCTGGATAGCCTCGCTCACGTCGTTCTTGAGGCGGAAGAGCTCCTCCTCCAGCAGCAGGCGCTGCTGCTCGCCGTTCTCCATCTCCGCCTTCAGGCGGATGAGCTCCTGCTCAGCCAGCAGCTTCTGCTGGGCCGTCCCCTCGGCCAGCTTCCGCTGCTTCTCCAGCTCCTCCTCGGCCAGCTCCTTCTGGCGCAGGGCGGCTGCCTCGGCCTTGCCGCGCTTCCGCGCCTCCCGCTCGGCATCCTCCTTCTGCTTCTCGGCCTCCTCCTGCGCCAGGGACTTCTTGTGGGCCACCTCCTCCGCCTGCAGCCGCAGCCGCAGGGCCTCGTTGGCCTTCTGGCGCCACTTCTCCACCTCCCTCTCCGCCTCCTCCCTGGACTGCTCGGCCTCCAGCTGCTGCCTCTTCAGCCGCTCGGCCTCCTCCTGCAGGTGGGTGACGGTCAGGTGCTCCTGCTGCAGGGAGAGCTCCAGCTGGGCCGTCTTCTCCGCGAAGGACAGGCGCCGGCTCTGCAGGTCGGCCTCGGCGCTCTTCTGGGCCGCCTCCTGGGCCACCTGCAGCTGCCGCTCCTTCTCCAGCTCGGCCTGCCGCATCCTGCGCTCCGCCTCCTCGGCCTGCAGGCGCAGCTGCTGCAGGTCCTCCAGGGCCTTCTGCTTCTCCCGGGCCGCCTGCTGCTCGGCCTGCACCTTGCGCCGCACCTCCTCCTCGGCCTCCCGCTTCCTCTGCGCCTCCTCCTTCACCTGCCGGCGCAGGCGCTCAGCCTCCTCCTGGGCCAGCTTCTTCTGGCGCTCGGCCTCCTCGGCGCGGGCCCGCAGCGCCCACAGCTCCTCCTCTGCCCCGGCCCGCTGCTGCTCCGTGGAGTCCAGCTGCAGGCGGATGACGCGGATCTCCTCCTCCACCTTCCGGCGGCTGAGCTCGGCCTCCTCGATCAGCTTGAGCTTGGCCTGGATCTGCAGGTCCGAGCTGACCTTGACCTGCGCCAGCTCCTGCTGGATGTTCTGCTTCTGCTGCTCGGCGTCCACGGCCACCAGCTGCCGCCGGCTGACCTCCTCCTGCATGCGCCGCTGCAGCTCCTGGGCCTCCTTTTCCGCCTGCGCCTTGGCCTGGGCGTGGGCCGCCGCCAACTGCCTCTGCTTCTCCAGCTGCGCCTCCACCTCGGCCAGGCGCTCCTGCTCCTCCGCCTTCAGTTTCTCTGCGGCTTTCTAGGGGGGCAGGGCGGGGGGGAGAGGGGAGAGAGAGAAAGATCACAAGAGACGGGTTGGCGCAAGCGAGGCGGGCGAGGGGCCGGGGCGGCGGGCCGGGGGCCTTCCCAGGAGGCTCTGGGAAGACGTGTGGCAGCCAGGAGGAGGCGGTGCTCACGCCTCTTGTTGAGCCTGGCGGGCAAGGAAGCAGGATGACCCACGAACCAAGGATGGCGGATGGAAAGACAGTGAGGGGAGGGGAGGGGAGGGGGGAGGGGGGATGGAGAAGGACAAGCCGACAACAAGCAGGACCCACGAGATGGGAGCAGCTGGAGCACCTCCACCATGCGCGGCGCAAACCGTGGCAGAACCATCACCGGAGAAACCGTGGCGGCGGCAGGAAAGGCCCGTCCTCCGGGAACGGGAGCGAAGGCGCGAGCGAGTCCACGGGGCAAGGCGGGGGCAGGCGGGTGCCGCCCAGGCCGGCCCCTTTTCCGGGGCAGGAGGCAGGGCCCGGAGAGGTGCCCAGGGAAGGCCCAGCTGGCCGCCTGGGGCGCATGCGCAAAGCACACCCCGCACCAGTGGAAGCCGGGAAGCTGCCTCCAGGAGGCGGCCAGGTGACACGGGGCAGGAAGGGCGACGGCTGAGGCCGGCCAGAGCAAGGCCCCCCGTCCCCCAGAGGACCCGCCCCAGCACCCCTTCCGCCCTCCCCTCTGAGCCTTCGCGCCTGCCGGGCCCGTAGCCGACTCTGCCGTGGCCTGACGGGGGGCACGCGGGGGACCGGGGGGGGGCAGCAGGCTGCAGCGAGGAGGAGGGATGGAAGCGGGAGAGCATGCACAGAGTGCGGGAGTACCTGGAGACGGCACGCGAGTCCTGCTGGCATTAACCCTCCACGCGATCCCCACCACCACACACGCCCCAAGACAAAGCGCTGGCAAAGCGGCTCAACTTCCGGAGGGCAGAAACCAAGAGTTAGAAAGGTCACCCGGCCAGAGCGCGGCGGAGGAGCAGGCAGGCAGAGCTGCGGGGGGGCGGCCCCGCGGGGACACGGGGCAGGGGCAGGCGCGGTGGGGCCGGGAGAAGCGTGTCTCGGGGAAGCGCCCTCTCCCGCCGGGCCGGCAGAGTCCCCCGGCCCGCGGGTCGCAGGAGGGCTGTGCCCGGGCCGGAGCGTGGCGGGGCGCGTCCAGGGCCAGCATTAGTGAGGTGAGGCGGCAGCCCGGGGGGCGCTTCGAGCAGCTGTGGGCCGGGGGCGAGGGATGCGACCAAGCCGTGCGGGCCCCAGCCCCTGTCTGGCAGCCGCCAGCCTACCTCCTCCTGCTCCAGCCGCCGGAGGGTCTCCGTGATGAAGCGGATGTACTGGCTGGTCAGCGTGGCCAGCTCGCTGTACTGCGTCCGCAGGTCCACGTACTGCAGGGCCAAAGCGGGGCGTCACCACTCCGGGGGGCCTCCCGGGCCAGGCGCCCCCGCGGCACCAGGCCTCCCCCCCCCGGCAGCCCGCAGCGGGACTGGGAGCGAGGGCCCCAGCGGCACCGGCCCCATCCCCCTGGCGGCCACGGGGGGCTCACGGGCAGAGCGGGCCGGGTGCCTGCCACTGGTGCCACTGCGCCAGGACCAGCCGCCTCCGAGCACCGGCCCGGCCCCCTTCGGGAGACTGCCGGGCGGGCGCCAGAGCGGCCCTTAGCCCTCCCCGCCCCATGTCAGAGCCCTCCTCCAGCCACCCCTTTCCGCCCGGAACACCAGCCCCACTGCGGTGCTGCTGCCGCCAGGCCCCCGGGCCCCCGTGGCCCCCACCTCCTGGATGATGCTGTCCGAGGCAGACTGGACTTTGGGCTTCTTCGCGGGAGACGCGGCCGGCTCCACCTGGGCCTTGTAGGTCACCAGCTGCAGTTCGTAGTCCTGGGAAAGACAAGCTGCTGGGACCAAAGCCGGCAGCACCCCCCACAGGGCGGGCGACCCCCCACCCCCGCACACGCCCTCCCTCTGCCCCCGCGGCTCACCTTGATGGCGTCGATGTACTGCTTGGCAAAGCGCTGGCACTCCTCCACCTGGGCCCGGTTCTGCTCACACTCCTCCAGCAGTTTCTGGGGACACAGACCAGTGACGGCTCAGCAGAGCTGGGAAGCCCCCATCCCCGGCCACGAGGGAAGCAAAGCGCCTCCGGCACAGTGATCTGCGAACTGGGCTGCGGGAGCTCCCTCTGCTGTGCCGGGGGGCCGCCAGCCACCCCTTCCGCCCAGGCCGACGGAGCCGGGGGACGGGTCACAGGCGTGTGGCTCGCCGGGCCTTTGCCGGCCAGCTCCCTGCCCCGTTCTAGCGCCTTCCCCGTGGGCTCGCCTCTGAAGGTGGGGGGAGGCGCACTGGCGCGTCTCTCTTGCGGGCAGCCGTCGAGCGGCACGGGGCCGGGGGCAGGACAAGCTGGGTGGGAGCCGAGGCCAGGGGGCCGGGGCAGGGCCCTCCAGCCCCTTCGCCCGGGCGGGAGGCTGCGTGTGCCCGCCGAGCGGGGCCGAGGAGGAGCGCCCAGCGGCGCGGAGCGGCCGGCCCCGGGGCCCTCACCTTCTGCTGCAGGAGCTGCTCGCGGACGCCCTCGCTGCTGGTGACGGGCACGGCCTGCAGAGCCTCCTGGCGCTGCCGGGCCTCGCGGATCCACCGGATGAGCCGGTCGTAGCTCTCGCGGTAGTAGCGCAGCTGGCGGCCCAGCTGGTCCAGCTCGCGCTGGCGCATGTCAATCTGGGTCAGGACGGCCTGCCAGCGCTCCAGCAGGGTGTGCACGCGCTCGTGGTACCGGTCCAGGTCCAGGTCCCTCTCGCTGTGGCCCCGTACCATGCGCTCGTTCACCTCGCTGGCCTTGCCCAGGTCGGCCTCCAGGGTGCTGAAGAGCGGCTGGTGCCCCTCCACCTGCCCACGCAGCTTCTGCGGGATGGGGGGCTCCGGTCAGGGGACCCTGGCCTCTGGGGGGCCTCCCCCCCGAGGCCCAGCCGCTCCTCTGCTCCGCCCCCCCCCCCCCCCGCCGGCATCCGGTCCTGCCCTCTGCCGGGCACCTTCAGCTCTGCCTTGGTCGCCTCGAGGGCCTGGAGGTCCGCGGGCACCGTCTGCACGTCCTTCAGCTGCGCCTCGTAGCTCTGGAGCAGCTCCTCAGCCCCCTGCGTGCTCCGGATGACCAGACTGATGGTCTTCAGCCTGTGGGGGGGCACATGGAGGAGGGTCCAAAGGGGCCAGAGGGCCGTTCGGCCCAGGCCTCTGCTGGTGCAGGACACCCAGGCGCACCGTCCCACTTGGAGGGCTTCAAGGCCCAGTTTCGCCTTGAAGGCCCCCAGTGTGGGAGAGCCCCCCACCTCTCAGGCTGCTGGTCCCACAGCCGCATTGCTCTGACAGCGAGGAAGCTTTCCCTGATCTCTAGCCTGAATCTTAACCTGTTACAATTGTTGAATGGATTCTTCCGCGTCCGGCACTCTGGCGTCAGCAAGAGGATCTTGGCCATCCTCTCTGTGACAGCCTTGGAGGGACTTCTAGAGGGATCTCATGCCCCCCTCAGCCTTCTCTTCCCAAGGCTGAACATGCCCGGTTCCCTCAGACTCTCCTCGCAGGGCAGGGTCTCCAAGCCCTGGGTCACTTTGGTTGCCCTCGCTTGACGTCGGGAGAGGCCAGGAGCTGAATCGGACCCACAGGCCTCTCTCCCAGCACCGTCCCACCTACCATCCGGTGCCCCGTGGTGAGCCCAGGAGCAGGACTGGAAGCGGCCACTGGTGGCAAGGGGCCTGTGGCCCTGTGCCAGGCTCAGCGGGGGCCCGGGGGGCCGCCTGCCCCCCGGACACGGGGGGGGGGGGGGCAGGAAGCCAATGCCCGCAGGCAAGGTGCTCGAGGGGGGCATGCTCAGGGCGCCCCAACCACAGCAGCTCTCTACCAGTTTGCTAAAGCGAACAAAATTTAAAGTCACAATTATGACGCCAAGCAGTACATTGCACGGAACGTGTCAAAATGCATCAAGTAAAAGCAGAGGGAGGAATAAATGCGCGCAGTTAAGAGCAGGAAGCAGAGAGGGGAAAACCCTGAGCCGCGGGCTGGCGCAAGCAGGCCAGGCACCCGGAGGCAGGGAGCCCCGGCACCTGGCAGGCGCAAGTCAAGGGGCAGGGCCAGAAGCCCCAGGAAGACCGCCCGCTCCGACCGCCCGGCCCAAGAGCCCCCAGACGGCGGGCCGCGGGGCACTTACTTCTCCAGGTAGATGCTGGAGAGGCCCTGCACCTGGTCCATCTTCTGCAGCGTGAGGTCCAGCTCCGAGTGCAGCAGGGGCGCGGAGCCGGCCTGCTCGGGCTGCGCCAGGACCTGCTCGGTCTTGGCGCTCACCTGGCCCAGGCTCTCCTTGATGCCTTCCAGCTCCAGGTGGATCCGCTAGGGGAAGCGTGGAGGGCGGCGGTGAGCCCCGCCGGCCCCGCGACGGCTGCAGGGGCGAGCCTGTGCCGGGGGCGGGGCGGGGCGGGACCCGGGGCTCGTGGTGGGGGCCCCTTCTGCGCACCCCCAGCTGCAGCAGGAAGGAGCCCTGCCTGACACCCCGGGCAGGCGGGCTGGCTGCCAGTCACCGGCCCCGTGGGACCGAGGGTGTGACGTGCAAGGGACAACGGGGGGAGGGCTGCCAAATGGGGCACGGGGGCGGCCTGGGAGCTACAGGCCAGTCAGGCCGACAGCGGCCCTGCGGCAATTCCAGAGGAGGGAACGGAGCAGTCGGTCCACGAGCCCCCGAAGGCAACGGAGTAGTTCCTGGACGGCAGCAGGGTTTCCCGCCAGCGAGTCTACCAGACTCACCCAACCGATCGGAGCAGACCTGGGTTCCACAGGCACCAGGCGGCGGCTGGAGAGCCACCTGCCGGGGACCCTCGCACTGCACCGGTGTCCTGCGCTGGGCAGTGGGGCGGCCCAGATGGCCCCCCCCACAGCGCTGCCCCGCTGTGCTTCTGCGGTACAGGGCGCTACAGGGTTCCTGGCTTGGGGTGCCCGGGGATGAGGGCCGGGCCTGCGGGACGCCACAGCCGGGAGCCGGTGCTCGGCCGCCGAGCTGCGGCTCCCGCACCCAGGTGCTCCCGGTGCGCGGGTGGGGGCGCCGTCCGGCCTGGGGCAGGAACGGGAGCAGCACCTGCTGGTCGCTGATGCGCTGGGCACACTCCTTGGCGGGGTCTTTGTCCAACGGGGAGCGGATCTTGTGGATGGTGCGCGACTCGCAGCCCTCCAGCCGCAGCAGGATGTCCTTCAGCTGGGAGATGTAGTTTCGGCACAGGGACTCCTCCTGCTCCCCTGCGGACGACCGCAAAGCCAGGCCGGGGTCAGCGGGCCGGCAGGTGGGGGGCGGCTCGGTGCCGGCAGGGGGAGCTGCTGGCCAAGGTGCCCGCCTCCCCGGCCCTGGTGGCCACGCAGCTCGCTCGGTGCCCCGGCATCCACCCCCCGGAGCTGCCGGGCACCCACGGGGCCTGCCCCCTCGCAAGGGGCGGGCACACACCGGGCTTCACCTTTCTCCAGGCCGCGCAGCAGGAGCTCGTACTTCTGGGTGCACGTGCTGTACTCGCGCTCCATGTGCAGCCGGTCGTCCGGCAGGAAGTTCTGTGCGTCCTGGCTGTTGCGCAGGAACTCCTGGTAGTGGCTTTCCAGGTTGCGCAGCGCCTGCCGGTGTTCCTCGGGCGGCATGGTCCGGAACTGCGGGAGACGGAGCAGCGCCCGGTCAGGACGGGCACTCTGCCACTCCCCACGGGGAACCGGGGAGACGAGCCGGAGCCCAGCAGCGCGGAGGGGCAGGAGGCCGCCAGGCCCAGCCCCGCACAGCCACCCCACCCCACCCCACCCCACCCCACCGAGGTGGCCGCCCAGACGCCTCTTGCTGGCCCCCCGCGAGGCGGGGCCCACCGCTTCCCCAGGCAGTCCCTTCCACACGGGGACCCAGAGGACGGAAGCCTATTTGGAGGGGCCGGGGGACAGACGGCGCCCCCAGCGCCCGCGCGGTTGGACGGAGCCCTTGGTGCAGCAGACAGGAGCACGCTCCGTGCGGCGTTCTTGAGGGCACTCAAAGTCCCACAGCCATACGAAGCCTGAACTGCCGCGCGGTGCCCTTTCTGTGCTCTGGCTCGCCAAAACACTCAACTTTGCTTTCCAAACAAAGCAAGTCTCTAGCCCTCAAGGCCGAGTTGGAATAGAGTTGAGAGCACGGCCCAGTGGCACCTAGGGAACACGTGGGAAAGCGGGGAGTTTCCGGTGGGGGTCAGAAGGAGGGCGAGTTCCTGGCACCCCCCCATCCCATGGCCATGTGCAGCTTTTCCCATTTCCCTCCCTTCAAGGGCCTTTGCTGGAAAGGAAGGAGCCCGACGGAACCAGGTGCTTTCCAGACTCCCCACCAATGCGACAGAAGCCCCACCCGGAAGTGCCACGGACCACCGGGGCGCTTCCCACGGCACCCTGTCCCCTCTGGCTGCCCCGGACGAGCAGCATGGCCTATTCCTCGAGCCCTTCAGGCTCTCTGGCCGCCGTGGGGGGGCAGGGTGGCCCGCGCAAGTCGCTCGCTTGCAGGATGGGGGGGGCCGGAGGCTCACCGTGAGGAGGGACCACAGCTGGATCTGCTGGATGTCGCGCTGCAGGTACTGCCAGGACAGCAGGCTCGCCATGTCGATGTGCAGCTGGCGCTGGCTGGCCAGCAAGCCCTGGTGGGTGGCCTCCAACCTGCGGAGAAGCCCAGCTTCAGGGAAGCCCGAGGGCTGGAGGGGAGGGGCCCGCGGGGAGAGCCGGGCCGGGGGCCCTCGCTCGCAGCGCTGTCCTGACACCCGCCAATGCCTGCACGCACGCCAGGGGCCCGGGGTGGCCCGAGTCTGGCTCAGGGCATCTGAACGTGGCCCCAGAGCGAGCGAGCGAGCGAGCAGAGGGCGCTGTGCTGACCTGCTGACTGCCTCCAGGGCGTCCTTGTTGGGCGGGGGCACCAGGAAGCAGATGGACGGCACCACGGCCTCACTGCCGGCGGCATTCAGCACCTTCCACTTGGAGGGCTCGGCATTGCTGAGGAGGGTACAGGTGTCCCCCTTGTGCACCGTTATCTGGACGGGGCGGAGGAGAGGCAGCCTCAGAGGAGCCGTGCGGCACAGCCGCCCCTGCGCCCCGCGGGGAGGGCCCTCCGCGCCACGCCCCTCACCTCCAGCTGCTTGTAGTCGCAGACCGCCTGGAGAGGCAGCCGGCCCCTGACGTGGGTGCCCGTGCCGCGGGGCTTCAGCTGGACGATGGTCTTGGCACGCTTGGCGAGCCCCGCCAGGTGGCTCTGGTACTCGACGAGGTGCTCCTTCTCGTCCTGGAGGGGGCAGAGAAGAGGGTGAGGGAAGCGGGCTGGGCTGGGCCGGGCCCGGGGCCGGGGGGGGCTTGCCCACTCACGAGGGAGTCCTTCAGCAGGTCCTCCAGGCGCGTCGCAGTGATGGACCGGTCGCAGGCAAACTTCTTCCTCATGGTGTCCTGGGTCTTGTGCAGGAACTCCTCGGCTTGCTTCACGTCAGAGAAGAACTGGGTGGGGAGAGAGAGGCGGCTGCACTGGCCTGCCAGCTTCTTGGGGTGGGGGGCTCCTTCTCCCCACACAATAGCCGGCCTAGATGCTGGCCCATGGGAAGAGCACCCGGCCAAGGTGGGCCAGCCGCAATTCCTCCCGCTGGCCCAGGGCCCGCCCCCGGGGGGTACCTGGAAGTAGGCCGTGTTCTCCTGCAGGTGGGCCTCGATGCAGCAACACAGCTGCAGCATCCAGCTCCACTGGGTCTGCAGCGCCGCCAGGAAGGCCTGCGGGGAAGAGCGGGGCTCAGCCGGGGAGAGGTGGGGCCGGGCAGTGGGCCCAGGCCCAGCCCACCTCGGCCGCGAGCGGGCTCACGGGACACGGCCATCGGACAGGCCTCGTGACGCCGTCACGCTCGGATCACGAGGCTGCACAGCCCGCCCGGAGCGGCACGCCCACCTCCACCGTCTTCTTGGCCGGATGCTCCTCCCGCAGCAGCCGCTCGCCCGTGCTCTGGATTTCCTTGATCTTCCGCTCGCGTTGCTCCAGCTCCCTCATCAGGCCCTGAGGAAGAGGAAGGAGGCGAGGAGCGCGTCAGCGGGGGGCTGCCAGCCACCCCCCGCCCGCCCGCCCGGCCCGGGAGCCCTTACCGAGTAGCTCTCCTTCTTGGCGGCCATGTTGCTGTTGCGCTCGCTCCAGTCATAGCCGGCCTCCTCCTCTTCCTTCTCGCTCAGCCACAGCAGCTCCCTGGTGGCTGCGGCCACGAACGCCTGCAGGCTCTCGAGCTGCCGGAGCCGGCCCTTGGAGGCGTTCTGCAACGGCACGCACCGGTGACCAGCCGGGCCTCGACCGTGGCCGCTTCCTCAGGCACGGGGCTGCCTTGCTGGCCCCGCGCCCAGCCCACCGCCTCCAGCGGCCCTTCCAAGGCCGGGCTGCTCCCGGACCCCACGCTCCGGCGGAGCAGAGGCGGAAGAGGGGCCGGGCCAGGCGGCCCCACTTGCAGGGCCTCCGGCGGCCACTGCCCACCCCCCCGAGCGCCAGGGCCACGGGCGGGCTGCGCCCATTCGAGGCGGGGGCTCCAGCCGCCCCCCGCGCTCCTTACCAGCAGCTTGGCGTACTGCAGCTCCAGCTTGTTCAGGCAGTCCTGGCAGGCGCTGCGCATGACGGGGGAGAGCTGGGCCTGCAGCGGGCGAGGACGGGAGCCGGGCCTGAGCCGTGTCGCCTGCCGCTCGCCCCCGCAGAGGGGCCCGGGGCTGCCGGGCGGGGGGCCTCCCCACGCTGCCCGCGGAGGGGCGGGGGGCTCACCTCGTCGGCACGGGCGGCCTCCACCTTGGGGCGGAACTCCTCGATGGACTGGTGCAGCCCGCGGTGGCTGCCCAGCTGCGACTCCACGGAGGGCAGGTCGATGCCCCACTCGGCCGCCGCCACGCGCCGCTGGTTCTCCTCCACCCAGGCCAGCAGCTCCTGCAGGTAGCGCAGGGTGGTGTCGTCCAGCTCCGGCCGGGGCCGCGGGGCCTGGGTGCTGGGGGCCGGCCCCGACTTCAGGCGCAGGTTGAACTCCGTGCGCAGGGCCACAAGGCGCTCGTGCAGGCGGTACACCCTGCGGCAGAGAGGGGGGCGCGGGGTGAGGGGGGGCGGGTGCGAGAGGGGCGGCTTCGGGGCCAGAGCCGCCTGCAGTACTGCCGGCCGCCACCCAGCGAGGGGGGCGCTGCGGGACTGTGCCAAGCACGGCAGGAGCGGCTGAGCACGAGGAGGAGGCAGCAGCGGCTGCAGCAGCCCGGCCGGCCCACCTGCGGTACATCTGCTCGCCCTGCAGGTGGCGCCCGTCCTTGAGGGCTTGCACGTCGTTGAAGAGCGAGCGGATCATGGTGTCGGCCTTGTCCAGGTCCTGCTCGATCTCGGCCTGCCTCTGCGGGGCCTTGCCGGCGTTCATCAGCCGGATGTCCTGGAGAGAGGCAGGGGAGTGTGAGGCGGGTCCGGCCCGCACAGCGGCCCACGTGGCGGCCTCCCCCCACCGGCTCGGGCACTCACCGCCTGCAGCAGGCTATCGGCCTGGTTCAGCTGCTCCTCGCAGACGCCCGACTCCATCTGGAGCTTGCTGACGATGCGCTGCAGCCGCTCCAGCCTAGAGGATCGGGGGGCCGGGGCTCAGAGCGCGTCCCATGCCCTCGCCCTGCTCGGGCTCGGGCTCGTGCCGGTGCCTCCTGCGGCAGACGGGGGCGCTGTGCAGCCGGCCAGCCCGCCCGCCCTCCAGGGCCGCAGGGAGAGCAGAAGCTCTGCAGCTGCTCCGGGGCCGCCCGGCCTCGCTCTGCGGTCTGGGCTGCACCGTTTCCTGGTGAGCCCGGCCAGCAGGCGGGGAGCAGTGAGTCACCGCCCGTGTGTTTCCCATTAGGGCTGGGCTGGGCCGGGGCCGGGGCCGGGGCCGGGGCCGGGGCCGGGGCCGGGCCAACCGCTGGCCGGCGGGCCGGGAGGGAGGGACCTGCTGGGCGACGGCACTCCCTCCCCAGGAGAGCAGGACCTGCGCGGCGGCTGCGCCAGGCCGGGCACCGTCCGGGACGGGGGGCCTGGCAGAAGGCTGTGCTGCCAAGGGCCCCGCCACGCAGGGGCTCCTGCCCACCGCCCGGCCCCGGCCCCGGCCCCAGGGGCTCACCTCTCGAACTCCGAGCGCAGAAGCTTCTCGCGCTCCAAAATGGCCACGTGCAGCTTGCCCCACTCCTTCTCCACGTCCAGCGGGTGGTAGCCCGGCGGCACCTTCAGCTGCCCAGACTGCACCGCTGCCTGTGGTCAGCCAGCCGGAGCGGGGCGAGGAGGGAGAAGGCGCACGGTCAGTGCAGGCCACCGCGGGGCCCGGCCAGAGGCCAGAGGCGGCCCCCGTGCAGCGGTCCCCGCCTGGACGTCCTCCGCAGCCGCGGGAGGATGCTCTCCCCATGGGCCTCCCAAGCCGCCCCCGGCAAGCCCAGAGGCCTCCCCGAGAGGCCAGCGCGACTGGACGGACCCCCCGAGCTCGGGCAGATGCCAGCGGGCTCCACCGCCACCGGTGCCCGCTGCCCCGTGCCCAGGGCAAGCCCACCTCCAGGGACTGGAAGATGGCCTTGGAGCGGTGCTTGTCGGCCTCCTTGGCGGGCAGCTCCGTCTCCTTGAACTTCAGGAACTGATGCCACAGGATCTGGGGAAGAGAGGGGCCGGTCAGGCTGTGGGGGGGCAGGGGAGGCGGCTCAGGGCGGGTGGAGCGGGCAGGCACCCGCCCACCCTTGCCTCAGGCACAGCCCTTGGGGTGCGGGGGCAGCCAGCGCCGTGGGGTGCCGGATGGAGGGGGCCCGAAACAGAGCCCTCCCAGCCTCCCCCCCCCCCCCCGACAGGCTCCCGGCCAAGCAGGAGATGCTTCCTGGGCTCGCTGGAGGCCTGCCAGGGCAGCCGGCACATCCCAGCCTCCGGCCCCTCCCGGGCACCCTGCCTGGGCAGGCCGGCTCCAAGGCTGCTGGAAGCGCTGCTGGGGGGGGGGGGGCCATCCCGCCCCGCCTTGATGGGGGGGGAGGAGGAGGAGCCCTTTCATCCGGCGCCAGCAGCCAGGCAGGGAGTGCCAGAACGGAGCGTGGGGACGCGAGCCGGAGCCGGTGCTCTGGGGGAGGCAGCCCGGCTCCAGCCCCGCTTTTGCTTCCGAGGGGCGGGAGAGGGCCTTTGGTCGGGGTGGGGGGCGGGCCGCAGGAGTCTCACCTCGATCTCCTCGTAGCTGGCGGGGAAGCGCCGCTCCTCAAAGACCACCGTGTGATGCTGCACCCACTGCAGCAGCAGCGTCACCACCTCATAGTACTCCTGCCAGCGCAGCTGCAGCTCCTGCGGGGGACGGACAAGGGCCGGTGAGCACCCCCACAGCCGCCGGGCCCCCGCCCAGGGATGCCGCCCCCCTGCCCCGCCCGAGCCCCCGCCACGCGCTCACGTTGGCCCTGACGCCGTCCTGCACGTCGGGCACCCGCGGCATCACGTCGTAGAGGGAGGAGACGTAGGTGATGATGGACTTCTCGTCCGGCTGGGGCACGTCCACGTCTGCGGAGAGAGCGGAAGCGGCCGTCAGCCACGGCCGTGGCCCCCCGGCCCCCCGCAGGGGCCTCGCAGCGGGCCACAGGTACCTTCCGGGTCCAGCAGCCGCGTCACGCCCAGCTCGTGCTCGGCCACGGAGAAGGCCTGCTCCAGGTTCTCCACGTTGCTCTGGCGGTACACCTTGCTCATGTCGATCAGCATCGGCCTGGGCGGGAAAGGCAGGGTCAGCGGCGGGGGGCGGGAGAGGCCCCGCGGGGGGCGAAAGGTCCCTCAGGCGCCCTGCCCTGCCCTGCCCTGCCCTGCCCTGCCCTGCCCAGGGACCACCTGGGAAGGGGCGGGGGCGGCCCCGTGGGGCCTTGCCGGGGCTCCCTGGCCTCAGCCTGGCCGCCTCAGGCCCCCCTCCCCCCACGGCCCGCAGCTGGCGGCACACGGGTGGCCAGAGACCCTGGACACCGTCAGCATCGCCCGGGCACGAGGCGACGGCCCCCCCCGAATCCCTGCACCCCTCGGCACACGCAGGGGCCCTCGACGGAGGCAGCTCCCAGCAGCTGCGGCGGGAAGGCTGCCTCGGCGCCCGCTCAGGGCCCATTGGCCACCGAGACTGGAGCCGCCGCCGCCTTCAGCTTCCAAAGAGGAGCCTTCACTTGCATGAGTACAAGCGGCGTGGTGCTAGCCCTCATGACCGAGAAAACGGTCTGCCGGAGACCCCGAGGCACTGGGGCAGAAGGCCGGGTGACATCTTCCCTGGCCGCCCCGTGCTCTGCTCACCGTGTAGACAGTAGAAGCGAAGCGCGAAGGGGCACGGTCCTGATCCTCCACAAAATGAGGACGAGGCTTCCGGCTCCACCGCGCCACCTCCCTGCCCCCAAGCACGAAGTCCTGCACTGGGGGGAGGTGTTCCACCCCCACGCGGGCTAGCTCCTCTCCCGCCCCACCAGCAGGGGGCTGGGAAGCAGCCGCGGGGAAGAGGGCAAGGCGGTGACGGAGCGGAGAGCCGAGCGGCTGGCCCCACCTGCCCCGAGAGGACGGGGCTGCAGCTGGGGCGGATCGGGACCAGCCCTGCTGCTGGATCTCCCCCGGGCGAGCACGGGCCAGCGAGGCGGCTGGCTCCACCGGCGCAGCAGTGCCGCCAGACGTCACCCTCCCAGAAAGTCCCCCGGCAGCCGGCCAGGTGGGCTGCTGGCGATGGCGCCAAGCCACTCCCGGGCCGGTTCCTGCGGGGCTCCGGGGAGATGTGAGGGGGGAGCAGCGTCAGGAAGCCCAGCAAGGCTTGGGGGGGCAGAGGCGCTCTTGGGGACCCCCAGCAAGCACCCGTTCCTCAGACCCTCCCCCCCGCTGTCTGATGTGGCCTCCCCCACATGGAAGAGCCCTGCCCCACATGCCGGCGGTCTCCAGCTGAGCACCCAGCAGTGCCTCCAAGAAGGCTGGAAAAGCCCCCCCACCCGCGTGCCTGGAAGTAGGGGGGACCCAGGACTCTGCTTCACCCACAGAACGGCCAGACGGGCCTGCGCAGCACATCCCCTTTTCCCCGTTGCGGAGCTGCCGACAGCAGGTGCCTGCGCCGGGCCCCTCCCTGGGACAGACCCACAGCCCTGCCTCCCTCGGGGGCGAAGCCCGGGGGCCAAGGGCTGGGGAGGGCGCCAGGCTGAGCCCTCCCCACACAGTGGGGGCCCAGGCCGCCTGAGGGGCCCTGGCGGCTTCGGGTGAGGCGGCTGCCGAGGGCGGCGGTGCCCTCGGCGGCTGCACTGACCAAGCCTCGCGGGGGACGTGCCCATGGGCTGCAGCCAGGAGATGAAGCACGGAAGAACCCTCCCCCCCCCCCCCCCCGCACAGCATGCCTTTCCCCTGCGACGTGGGGAGGGGAGCCGAGCGGGCAGGGGAGCCGCAAGCAGGGGGGCGAGCCTACGTTTCGCGGAGGCGCAGCGTGGAGTGCACCGAGTACAGCGCCCCGTGGAGGTCCCGGCCGTCCGTGGGCTGCCAGCCATCCTGCCCGTTGGCCCGCCGCTCCCCGGGGCCCCCCCAGCCGGGGACGTCCTTGCACAGCATCACAACCCTCTCCTCCGATGCTCCCCGGGCCCGGCCCGGACGCTCCGGGCCGCGGCGCCTGGCCGGGCGCCGGCCCCGCGGACGCCCACTCATGCCGGCCCCGGCGAGGTCGGAGCTCCCGGGACGCCGGCCTGCTGCTCCCCGCGCTCCGGAGCGAGTGGCACAGCGGGAGGGCGCCATGGCTGCTCCCCCTGCCCCGGGCCACGTGGGGGGAGGCTGGGCGGGGCGGGGGCAGGCTGGCTCCCGCTCCGCTCGTTCAGCCCCGCTGCGTTGGGGCCGCCCCCTGCTGCCCCACCCCGCTCCCTTCCCGCAGGGGTTGGCAAGGAAGCCGCGGCGCCACCCACGGGGGCGAGGTGGAATGCAGCCCCCGCGGCCAACACGTGCGGGCAGGCCCGGCACTCGCTTGCGCCCGCGCGCAGGCAGGCCCGACACACCCGCGGGGGGAGGGAGGCAGGCAGCGGGCCTGGGCCAAGCGACAGTGGCCAGGCCGGCGGTGGGGCCGGCGGTGGGGCCGGGGCCGCTCCCTTCCCTGCTGCCGGAAGCAGGGCCCCCCATGCCCGGGGGTCTCCCGGGCCTTCGGGAGAGAAGCCTCCTCGCAGCCTGGCCTTCCGCAGCGGAAGGCGCCCCTTCGCGGGCTGTGGCGGTTCGCAGCAAGTGGCCTCTCGCGTGGAGGGCGGGCCCCCAGCCAGAGTGGGGCTGCTTCTCCCTGGGCCCCTGGCCGGGGCCAGGCAAAGCGGTCTCAGGGGTTGCCGGGCCTCTGCGGGGCCCCGGCCAGTGCCGGGTCCATAGCGGGATCGCCCCCGCTTCGATCCCACACCACACGGTCCAAGCTCCCCTGGCGGCCTGCCCGGCCGGAGCCGCCGCGACCCAAGCGGGTGTCCCCGGCTCCTTACTTGTGCCGGTGGATGATGGCGTTGAAGACGCGCCCGTCGCGCCAGCTGGTGGTAAAGTTGTCGCAGCGCAGGCCCTGGTAGCCCTCCACCATGCGCTGGGACCAGAGCAGCAGCTTCTCTTTGGCCGTCATGTCCTCCGACTGGCCGCTCACCTGGATGTCGGAGATCTGGCCGGGCAGAAATGGGGCCGCGTGAGGCCGGCAGCCGCTCCCGGCAAAGGCCCGTCTCAGGACCCCCGCCCTCGCGGCTGCCCGGGCGAGCCGGCAGTGCCCTCACGAAGGCCACAGGACACGATGGCTGCGTGGCCCACGGGGCGTCCAGGGGGGGCCGGGGCCGGGGCCGCTCCCCCCACCTCCCAGGCAAGAGCCTCATTCCGTCTGGCCGGTTTTATGCCCCATTTGCAGCTCAGGAGCTTTTCGAACGGTTTACAATATAAAAACACAGTCACACGACGCAGTAGGCTTAGTCGCTGCGCCGCAATCGCCGGAAAGGCCTTTCTGAGGGGCTGTCCTGCATCGATCGCCCAGCACAGCGGCGGGTGAGGGGGGGGGAGGGAGACTCGCCGGGGGCGCAAGCAGAGCAGCTGCAGCCGCACCCGGCCGGGGAAGCTCCGGCCGCCCTCAACCCCACAAGCGAGCGGCGCGCATTCGGAGGCCGCGGGGGCGCCTGACCTGCCTCCTGCTGCGCCTCTGGGGCCATTCCAGGGGCAGCAAGAAGCACGCCAGTCCCTTCCGGGTGCAACAGAAGTGGGCAGTGCCTCTTCCGCCCCCCACGGCCCCCTCTGGGTTCAGAAGGGCCCCCCTCCCTGTCCGAGCCCAGGGAAACGGAGCACCGTCTGCTGCGTGGGCGGGGGCTCCCCCAGTCCCTCGGCCCCCGGCAGCGTGGGAGCCCCACCTGCTCCAGCTGGACAGGCCTGCAGGCAGCCCTCGTGCCCCAGAAGAGCGGAGACACCGCGGAGGCCAGGGGTGCGGCTGGCTCAGGGCAGTGCGGCAAGCCGGGCCCCAAACCGGGCCCCGCGTTCCGGACAGACCCAGCCGGGGCCCGGCGGCGGAGAGCGGCTCCTCGCGAGTTTGGCATGCCCCACCGCGCGCACAGCCCCGACCCCCCAGCGCTGCCCGGGGGGGTGAAGCTCCCGCAGGCCACGCCGGGGCGCCCACTTGGCCTTCCACTGGCCCGGCCCGGAGGCATCGGAGGTGCCAGGGCTGCCCCCGGCCACGGGTCCCGCCCCACGGCTCACCTGGAAGTGCAGGATGATGGTCCAGATGAGGCCCAGCGTCAGCTTGGGGTTGCCATCAGCAATGTCATCGTTCCGGATGTTGACCAGCTTCACCTGTCATGCACAACCAGAGCACTGAGATGCCAAGGCATGAGGGGGCGGCATGTAGTGGTTTTATTAAATCAAATCAAATCAAATCAAATTACAATCAATGGAGCCTGCGGGACACGCAGCCCCTCCCCTCCCCTCCCCCGCCCCTCCCCCCTCCTCACCTGCCGGTGCCTCAGGTAGTCCAAGGCGATCTGCACATTCTGCAGCTTGTGGAAGCGCATCCGGCCCTTCTCGCGAGGCTGTGGGGAGCGGCGCAGAGGCGCTCAGTTCACGCCCGAGCCCTGCAGGGGCCCCTCCCTCCCCGGCCTGAGGACCACCATGCCCACCTCCCCTGCCCTCCCCGGCTGCAGTGGGGCGTGCTCAGAAGGCGAGAGGGCTCTGATCCAGCCGGGATGCTTCCGGGTCGGCCGCTCGGGATGGGGCAAGAGAGATGAGGGCGGCCAAGGCGAGCGGCGGCCCAGCTGGAGGGGGGCCGTGGGGGCCCGGGGCGTGCTGGGCCCCACGTCTGCCGGGCTGACCGGCTGCAGCAGAGCTCGCGTGGGCAGGGGCGCGACGCCACGTCCGCGCAAGCCGGAGGACCGCTCGCCGCGGCGAGAGCCAAGGCAGAGTGCAGCAGCGCCATGCAGGAAGCGGATGGGGGACCCACTCACCAGCCGCAAGTTCCGGATCACGTCACGTTCCCTGGGCTGTACGGCAGGCGAGGGCCGAGCAGAGAGGGAAGCGGAGGCCAGAGGGCAGAGCCAGAAGAGAGTCCAGCAGACGGAGAGAGACAGAGCGAGCAGTGGGTGGTCGGACAGAGAGTGAGGAGGAGGAGGAGGAGGAGGACGAGGACCTCCGTGCAGCGCAGAAGGGTTGCGTGTTAGAGCGGCCGGAGGTGGAGCCAGGGCAGCCGTGGAAGGAGGCGAGAGCCCGAGAGCAGAGGGAAGCCGCCGTCCAGCCCGGGCCACGCGGACCCGCCCCTCACTGGCCCTCCGCCCCGTGGCCCCCACAAAGCCTGTCCTTGGGATGCCAAGCGACACGGCCGAGCCGCCCCCACCCCGGCCCTCCCCGGCGCCCGCCGCCAGGCCCACTCCAGCTCCCGCATGCGTGCCATGAAGGCATCCCGGAGGAAGCCCGACCAGCCGGAGGGTGCGAAGGGATCCCGGGGCCTCTGAGCCACAGCCCTCTCTGCCTGGCCGCATGTGGGCCGGCACTGGCAGGAGGCGGAAGGCACGGCAGCCGGGCTGCTCCGGGGCCACCGGGACCAAGGCGGAGGGAGGTGGGCCACTCTGGGCCCAGGAGGCGAGCCTGGGCCAGGCAGGGAGAGGCAGGCGTGCGGTGAGGGGGAGCCCGGAGCCCGCCTCGGAGCAGGGGGCGTGGGCCCGGGGGGCCCGGAGCAAGCAGGGGCTCTGCAGCACTCGAGCGGGACGCAGCGGGGGCCGGTGCGGAGGTCGCGGGCCAGGCCCGGGCCTGGATGAGGAGGCTTCCCTTCCTGCAGAGCACAGGCTCTGCCGGGCGCGGGCGGCTACCTACCAGGGTGTCTCCCGAGAGCACTTCCAGCAGGGAGATGAGGTTGTGTCCATCGCGCAGGTCCTCGTAGAGGTCGCTGACGTGCCGCTGGGCCTGCGGGTGCGAAAGTCACGTGGGGCTGGGCGAGGGGACCAGGTGGGGGCCCCCCGGCCCCCCACCCGGCGCCAGCAAGGGGAAGGTGGGAGGGGCTGCTCCGCCCAGCCGTCGGCCGAGGGACGCCCAGGGCTCGATCTGCGCGCACCTGGTCCGCAGCGGGGTGGGGGGGGGCAGCGAAGGGGCTGCCGCTGGCTCCTAGTCCTAGCAGCCCTGTGCCGCCTCCCGCACCAGAGCCAGTCGGCCCATTTACACCACTTGCTGGGGAACAGGGGTGGGCAGGTGCTATCATGGCTTCCCGTGGGCAGCCGGAAGTGCAGGCTCACTGACCCCCCCCACCCCCCCGTCTCCTCCGACACCATGCCTGCACTCCTACAGGCCCCACCTCCTTGGGCCCCAGCATGCTGCCCTGCAGGGCGCCCCCGAGGGCCTGGCCAGGGGCTGCGGCTCCCTGGAGCTGGGTGGGCTCCGCGCTCCACAAGCAGCCACCTGCTCAGAGGGATGGCCGGAGCCTCAGAATGGGGGCAGCCCCCTCCAGACAGTGCTTTGCATGTCCATATGATGCAGAAGACGGGAGGGAGAGTGGTGAGAGAGAAGAAGAGAGGAGAGGAGGAGAGAGGGGGGCCCTGGATGCCACAGCACGTACCTCTGCACGCCAGTGCTGCCACCGGGCACGAGAGCAGGACAGAGCAGAGCAGAGCAGAGCAGAGCAGGGCAGAGGAGAAGGCGGAGGAGGAGAGGAGAGGAGAGGAGAGGAGGAGCAGGAAGAAGGGAGGGAGACAGAGACGGGTTAGAAGAGGAATGCCCCCCGTCCGGGGTGTCCAGCACAGATGGGGCCAAGGGCCCGAGGCTGCCAGGCAGGGCTGTCCAGCACCTGCCCCCAAGACGGCTGTGGCCACTGGGGACGGAGAGGCCTCGGGGAGGCCGGCCCGCGCCCCGTGGGCATGAGAGAGGCCGCGCGTGGGCACGCTGGACCCAAGGCCCCGGGCACGCAGGTGGAGTGGCAGTCACAGCCAGAGGTGCCCGCCACTCACAAGCCAGGTCTCCAGACCCCCAGGGTCCAGGGAGCCTCTCCTCTCCCCACTCCTGCAGGCTCCCCCCCCCACACACGCAATGCCCACACAGCCCAAGCCCCCGAAGCACACGATCCACGGGGTCTCCCATCAGCCACGCAGGGAGGCTAGACGCCAGGCAGGCCAAGGGTGCTCCGGCAACGCGGCTGGTGGGGAGCCAGGAAGACCTTGCCCGTGGTGGGGGTGACATGGGGGAGGGCTGGCGGGGCCGTTCTCCCGGGCACCGCAGCACCGCGGAGAGGGATCACCCCTCTACCAAGCCTCGCTCGGGGGCACTCTTGCCCAGGGCCCCGCTGCAACAGGGGCTCCTCCAGCGCAGGGAGAGCAGTGGGGCGCTCAGTGGATCTGAGCCAGGAGGGCAGCCAGCCCGGCCTTCGCCCCCAAGAGCCCCCCAAGCCGGCCGGCCACTCACAGGGGCAGTGCGGCTGTGCTCACCTTGATGAGGTGCTTGTTGACCCATTTGGTGAAGGTCTTCTTCTGGACCCGATCCCGCTCATCTGCAAAAAAACAAAGGAGACTGTGAGCAGCGGTCGCGGGGCAGGATGGGGCGCCCCCGCTCGGCACGCGGCACCTGGGGGCAGGGGGCTCAGTGCCGGGCAGAGAGGGCTGGCCAGGCGGGCCCCTCCAGCTCCGATCCAGCCGCAGGCCCTTCTCAGGCCCTCGCGCCGCAGCAGCAGCAGCAGGGCGGCCGGCTGGCCTCCCGGGAAGCCTGGTGCGCTTCATTGGCGGGGAGAGGAAGGAAGGAAGCAAGCAAGCGCCTGCGTGACTCAGCCCCCCACGCCAGCCTCTTGCACCACCGCAGCACCCACAGGGACGCCTGGCACCAGCCGGCCTCCGCAGAACTTTCCGTGACGAGGCAGGGGAACCCCGGGGGGAGGCACGCGCTCCGAAGGCGAGGCGCCCTGCACGGTGCCCCAGCCGCCTGCCTCTGCACACGCTCGCGCCGCCCGGCCACGCCCAAGGCAGGCAAGGCCCAGCCACGCCACGGCGACAGACCGACGGTTGGCCAACGCCATTTCCCCTGCTCTCCCGCAAGAACAGAACTGCCTCCGGCCTCCTGATTCTCGGCCAGCTCTCCTCATCCCCGGCTCTGCAGGAGGGAGGCTGGCCCCGAGAGCGGCCATGGCCGGCCGGGGGCAAGGCCCCTGCACAGACTCCCACGGGAGCCCACGGGCTGCTGCCACAGGCAGGCTGGGGCAGGCCCCCCGGAAGCTGGGGCCCAGGGCTGCGGGTGAGGCCCGTGCGGGCCAGCCGAGCCCTGTGGCTGCGAGACCCGCCAAGGTGCCACGGGCAGCTCTGGGCTGCCCACGGGCCAGGACAGTGGCTCTGCCATGCGGCCCGTGGCCTGCAGGGCTCTCTGGAGCAGGCCACCTCCAGAAGGCTGACACGCCTAGCCCCACCCAGCAGCTTCGGCACTGAGCCATTTGTGGGGCACACGGAGGGCCAGAGAGCCTCCCCTGCCCATCACCCGCTGGATGCCCCACCCCTGCCCCACATGGCAGCCGGCTGGGAGGGGCTGGGCAGAGTCCACCAGGAAGCAGTTTATGGTTTTACGGCAGCGCCTGGAGCCGGCCATGCACCAGGGGCCCGCCACGTGCACCCCACCCTCCGATTTCAGCACAAGGGGTGAGGCGAGGATACTCCTGGCAAGCACCAGACACCTGGGGCAAGGTGGGCTGAGGAGGCCTCGGCCCTGACCCGAGGAGCCGGAGCAGAGGGGCAGGCCCGGGCACCACCAGGCCCGGCTCCTGCGCCCATGCTCCCCGGGCAGCAGCCCATCTGGGGCGCCCAGGGCGGGCAGCCCTGCCCCCTGCTCCAGCTGCAGCGCGGCCATCCTGGCCAGGCCTGTGGGGCTCCGACAGGCAGCCGGGCTGTGGCTTGGCAGCTCCGTCCGCACGAGGCTGCCCGGCTGCGGCAGCCCCGGCCTCTGCGAGCGGCACCAGCCTGCGGGCCCACGGGCGCCTGGCTCTGGCATCTCGGCCCCCTCGCCTGCGGAGAGGGGCCCCGCAGCCCCTCCAGGGAGCCTCTTCGGAAGCGCGGCTGGGGCTGCCGCAGGCCGGGAGTCTCCCAGAGCGCCTGCCTGCCCGCCCGCCCGCCGCCCGATCGGGAGCACGCGCCCCGCCCGGCCCAGGAATGTGCAGGGCACGCCCACCGTCTGGCGCCGGCGCCCCCTCCCCCGCAGGTGCCCGACCCTCCCTGCGCCCCTCCCCCGCCTTGGGCCTGAGCACAGCGCATCTCAGCCCCGCATGCCGGAACCGGCAGCCCAAGGAGTTATCACGGTAACAGGCAGAAATCCAACAGGTGTGGGTGCGACCGAATCTGCCTGGCACCCACAAACACAGGCCCATCATCTCCCCCACACAAGCAGCCACACAAGCACCGCCCCCTCCGTAGCCCTTTGGCTAGAGGCTCAGCAGAGTCGCACGGGGGGGGGGGCGCGGACAGAAGGCCTCCCGCAATGGGGCCAGACGAGCCCCACACTCAGGCTTGGGATGAGTGGCTGACAGGCAGAAGCCGCTGCCGCCGCCCCCCCCCCCCCCCCCGGCACCCCGCATTCAGTGCGTGCACAAGCACTCCCGCATCCCCACCGACCCTGCAGCTCCGGCCGCCTGCAGCCCCTTCCCTGCATCTCCTGCCCCTGCACAGCAAGGGGGCCGAGGCAGCCCCCCGGAAGGGGAGGCGGCGACTGGGGGGCTCAGAGGGCCCCGGCCCCTACCTTTCCTGCCCTCGGTGGTGCGCAGAATGGCCTTGTACAGGTTCTCCTCCGAGCTGCTCCTCGCCCCGTCCATCGCTGCCGCGGGGGGGGCGCCGGCCCCCTCCCGGCTGCGCAGCCTCTGCCGCGACATGGGCTGCCCACCCGCCCCGGTGGCCCGGCCCGCTCGGCCTCTGGCGCTGCGCTGCGCGGCTGGCGCCCGGGCCGCTGCCGGGCAGGCGCTCCGCACTCCGCACTCTCCGCCGAGCCCGCTGCTGCTGCCGCTGCTGCCGCCGCCGCCGCCGCCGCCCTCGCACACCGGATGCCCCAGTGGGCCCTGCCCAGGCCGGGCCGGGCTTTGGCCTCCTCCCCAGCCCGCCCCGCGGCCGAGGGGGGCCGGGGGAGGGGAGGGGAGGGGCCGGCCTCCACAGGAGCGCTTCCTGGCCGCTTAACCACTTCCCTGCCGCCCGCCAGGTTCTGCAAAAGGGAGCCCTCGGCAGCCCGGGCCTCCCCAGCCCCGGCCCCGCGGGAGCCCCAGCCCCGGGCGTGGGCGCGGCGCTCCTGCCGCTCTCGCCCGCCCGGCGCCGCACTTCCAGCTTCCCAGGCAAGGCCCGCAGACCCGCAAGGGGCCTTCGCGAAGCAACGCTGCCTCCACCCGAGCCTACCCCGCGGGGCTACCGGGAAGGCCTGCCCTGCCCTGAGCGCCCTATAGGGGCGCAGCCGCCAGTGCGGGTCGGGGCTTCCAGCAGCGCCCCCCCCCCGCGCCAGTCCAGAAGCAAACCCAGCACTGCAGCCACTGATCGGGCGCTTCGTGGGGCTCCTTCACTGTTATTATAGATGTCACTACTCTGCCACCCGTAACAAAAGCTCTTTGCACTGTTTACGACAATACATAAAACAAGCTAACAGAGTACAACAAAAATCATAAAATCAGAGTAATGTTGAAAAACCTAAAACAGATTTTAAAAACCGACAAAGAACAGCTCAGTAAGTACACCTGGCAGAGGTCACTTCCTCAATCCCCTGGGTAGCCAGGTAAGCCTTCAAAGGTCTCGGCATGAAGGGTCATCTCAAGCTGGCACCAAAAAAATGGCATCTTCGATGCCTGACAAGTCACAGTGGGGGGGGGGAGTGTACCAAAGAAGGGGGGCTAAAAGCCCTTCCCCTTGGGTCACCCTGAGGCTTCTTTTGGGTGGCACAACTTGGTGTCCTGCAGCAGCATCGGGTTGGACTCGACGGCCTTCATGGCCCCTTCCGACAGACCGGCTATTCTGTGTATGAGTCCATGACACTCAGAGGAAAGCCCCAGAGACGAGAATGGTCTCCAAGAGGTTGCAGCTGGGGGAGCTCCAACAGGGACTGTGGTCCCAAGCGGTGTAAGGGTTGTATAGGCTACAAGCAGCGCCTGGAACGGAGGTCGGGAGCACGCGGGCAGTCAGGGCAAGCGTGCCAGAACCGGCCCGATGTGCCCCTGCCGCTCCCCGTTAGCAGCCATCCAGCTGCTGCGCACCCTGCCAGCTGCGGCTCCTGAGCCACTTCAAGGGCAGCCCCACGTGGAGTCAATGTGCGGCATCCACGTGAGAGGCGGCCAAAGCGCAGAGTGGTGACGCCGGATGGCCTGCCCAGACGAGGAAGGCCCTGGCTGAGCCGCCCACCGAAGCTGCCGCAGGTGCGAGGCCTTCCTCCGCCGGGCCGGGCCGGGCCGGCCGCAGCCTGGACCTTGCACTGGACCTTGCACGGGTGGGAGCTGTTCCACTGGGACTGGGCGCACCCGTGACTCATGCACTCAGCCGGCACACCCAGCCCAGAGCCACAAGGACAGCGGGGGATCCTCGGCCGGCCCTCCAACGGCCTCCCGCTTTGCACTGGAAGGGCACTGGTGGGAGCAGCGGCATGGCTAACTTCCCAGTGGCGCTGGGGAAGACAAGCCCACTCCGCGATTCACCCAGCTGCTCCTCCTCTCCCTCTGCCGGGGAGCCACGCGTGCTGTGCCCACCACATGGGCCCTACCCAGGAGGGAGCACGAGGACCGACCCACCGTGGGGCCAAGGTTGCTGGTAGGGCTGGCTGGCTGGGCGGGCGCTTCCCCCAGGCGATGCATTCCAGGGCGGCCAGGCCCAGCCCCAGGCCCAGCCCCAGCCCCACCCAGTCGGCTCCGCTAGGCTGCCCAGAAGCAGCTCTGGGCTGGGACCCAGCACACCAGAGGAATGCGCAACACGGTTGGATGTTCAAAGCCGCGGAGCCGTTCCAGCTGCCACTGACACATCTGGGCCAAGGAACAGCGGGCTGACGCCCACGCTCGCTCGGCAGCGAGGTGGGGCCAGCCACACTGAATCACATCCCGTGCCTGTGGGGCAGCTCCCTGCCTGCAGGACGGGACAGGGGGAAAGCCCCCTTTGTTGGGCTGGGGAGGCCCCTGGGCAAACCCCCACAGGGAAGGCAGCAGGGCGGCTTCTGAGACAGGCGCTTTGCCTCCTCTGCGGCCTCTGAGTTTCGCTGCACTCCACAGGCCTATCCACCCTGGCAGACTCCAGCCTCTCTAAGGGGAGAACAAAAGCAGGCCTCCAGCAGGCAGGCGGGGGCCTGGCCAGAGAAAACAGCGTCCCACCCCTCCGCCCCACACCCCTCCCTGCCGCCACATCCTCTCGCTCCAGTGCCAGCCTGCAGGCTCAGAGCCACTTCGTCAGAAGGCCTCTGCCAGCTCTGGCCCACGGTGGAGAAAAGGCAGGGGATTGTGAAAGGCTCCATGGGAACGCCAGCTCCTGAACAGACTCTGCAGCGATTCATGCCCAGGAACAGACAACG